CTGACTCTCTCTGGTCATTAAAAATCCCATGGCACTTCTCGTGAAAGAGCAGGGGTGTAACCCTGGTGTCCTGGCCAAAGTCCCTCAATCAGCCCTTACGATCATGACCTCCCAATCATCCCCTTCCACCGAATTGGCTCTATCACTGTCTTTCTACTCCACCAATAGCTGGTGTGTGGTGAGCGCACTGGCGCCGTTGTCCTGTGGCTGCCGTCGCATCATCCAAGTGGATGCTGCACACTGGTGGTGGTGTGGAGAGACCCCCCCTCATGATTGTGAAGTGCTTTGGGTGTATGGCCATACACAGTAAATGCGCTATATAAATACACATTACATTACATTACATCACCCATAGTGGTGCGTGACTGTCAGCTGATACACTCCATTGTGATAAATACACGCTGTTTCCCAAACGGATTCTGTACATGCGATTTGAAGCGAAGCGAAAGTCTGATTTTTGTGTTTGAAAAGAAATACACATTTTATTAATAATAATAACATCTAAAGATTTTGATCTTGGTGGGGTTGCTCTTTAAACAACTAATTTTGTCCTAAAAGAGCACAAAGTGTTAGGAAAGCAGTCAAAAGCTTTCATTACAACGTTAGATTGTGCATTTCTTAAGTGACACCTCTGTTAATGTAATACCTTATTATGGTGGGCATATCCCTTATTTTCACATCCCAATGTTGACAGGTATGTTAATCTGAACTACTTAACACCAGGGGCCTCATGTATCAACGCTGTGTACGCACAAAAACTTTGCGTACGCCAGGTTTCACGCTCAGAATCGCTCACGTTTGGATGTACTAACAATGAACTGAACGTGGGAATGTGCGCAGCTCCACGCCAGCTTCATGGCTGGCGTACGCACATTTTTTTGTGCGTGTCTGTTTTATTTCCATTGGCGACTCCTAGAGGCAGTTGTGTTAAATTGCTCTCTACAAAGTGTCTGAGCCTTGCAATGGCAGCTGTATGAGACAGGTTCATCTAGCAGGTATATAAGGTTTCCATACCATACAGTTGACCAGCTAAACATTAAAGCGCAATTTGCAGTGGTCGCCTGTTTTCCCATTGTAATGGGAGCGATCTACTGCACGCACATTGCTATAAAGACACTATCTGAAGATGAATTTGCATGCGTGAATCAGAAACATTTCCATTCAATGAATGTGCAAATAAAATATGATGCACAGACTTATTAAAGATTCCTACTTGTCTTTCTCGTGATAAATAGTAGGCAAAATCTGATGTGTAGCGGGGGAAAAAAGAAGAATGACTTTATCAGACGCTGGATTCGAACAGAGTTCATGCTCAAATTTGTCAAAACATGTTATTATGTGTTTTACGAGCTGCGCCACTGAGACTGTTAAGAGTACTATAACATTTTACACCTATAAATCACACTTTTTCTTTTTTTATTCACTCAGTGTGATGTTCAGACCCAACTGTGTTAACCGCATCAGCTAAACTCTCCCACTCTATTTTTTTCTTTTGTTATTAAGTCAAACTTGCAAATAACACCGCTTTTCTCCGGTCTACCTCGGAAAGCAGCACCTCCAATTCACATTCTGTTCAAAGTTTCTCTTCTCGCTTGCTTTTGCCGTTGCTTTTTCGTTGGGTTTTGCCATTAGCATAGTCATTAGCATATTCATACGGGGGCGGAGGCAGGGAGGGGTTTTGCGCTCGTGCATGTTGCGCTCAGTTTCACGTTCATTCGGATGTACAAAAGAATATGCGTGAGATTCGGCGTACGCAGTGTTTCGTACATCTGATTTTTTTTCTGCGTACGCACATTTACAGCTTTGTGCGTACGCAATGTTTTAGTAAGATTTCCACGCAAGTCTTCGTACATGAGGCCCCAGGAGAGCTATAAAATGAGCCTGTTTTTAAAAACTCTGTTTCTTTAACCCATAAAAGTGGAATTTAACACACTACCACATTGTTTTATAATTACATCAATCTAATGTTAATATCTCAAGACACTGATGATTTTATATCCCAGAGATGGGTTGCGGCTGGAGGGCATCCGCTGCGTAAAAATAAGTTGGCGGTTCATTCCGCTGTGTCAACCCCGGATTATTAAAGGGACTAAGCCGACAAGAAAATAAATGAATGAACTGTTGATTTTACTTCAATTCTCTTTAGACAGCATTTAAAAAGCTAATAGTATGAGCTGTGCAGTGTTTTTGTCGTGTATTTTTTTTCCCCTAAAACCAGACCAGCCAGTTCCCTGCATAATTAAACTTTTTTTTTTTTTTTTGACGGAGCCTAAATGTTTCTAAGAGTATTCTCCTAAACATGAAGGAAGATCAAACCCATGCGTCTAGATAGGACTAACAAAATTACATTTAAATTAAAAGCAATTAAAAGTACTTAAAGGGTGTTGTTGGATGTTACGCAAGATGTGATTCATTATTGTCTTACCTTCAGTACATTAAAGGTGATTATGACGGCATTATGAAGCTTTTATTACAGGTTTTTAAAAATACATATTAAATTATTTGGGTGGCACAGTGGTTAGTACTGTCACCTCAAAGCAAGAAGGTCGCTGCTTTGAGTCCTGGCTGCACCAGTTGGCATATCTGTGTGGAGTTTGCATGTTCTGTTGGTGTGGGTTTCCTCAGGGTGCTCCGGTTTCCCCCACAGTCCAAACATATACACTATTGAATAAACTGAATTGGCCGTAGTTTATGAGTGTGAATGAGTGGGTGTTTCCCAATAATGGGTTGCAGCTGGAAGGGCATCCGCTGTGTAAAACATATGCTGGATAAGTTGGCGGTTCATTCCACTGTGGTAACCCCTGATAAATAAATGGACTAAGCTAAAGGAAAAATTATTTTATAGGTTTGGACTGAAATGTTTGGTACTACCTCCATAATATAATATTTGGATAGCCATCTTTCCTCAGTTTCTTAATTGCAGACATTCCTTACCTGTGTGCATGTGTGTGTGTGCGCATGTGTGTGGAACAGTATCCTCTTTCCCCTTGCCATGGACATTTTAATGAGCTGCTGTGTAAAATAAAGCCATTATTGTGCTTTTGGCCACCAAACAGAGCTTTCTTTCTTTTATGAAACAATCCGTATCCCTTACTCCTAACTCTGTCCCTCTTCTGCTTTTTTCTACACAGCTCACACCTGAGACCGGTTTCCATTCCTTCGCCATGTCTTCTAATGTCTCTTTCTAATGTCTTTTCCCTGAAAACACTCGGACACTGAGCAGTGAACAGCTCGTTTAACTGTATAGTGGTGCAGTGGACATCTTACTCTGGACACTGGAAAGCAGGTCAGCATTTACCGCATCTTTTTTCTTATATACAGTTAAAGTCAGAATTATTAGCCCCCCCCTATGATTTTTGTTTTCTTCTTTAATTATTTTCCAAATGATGTTTAACAGAGCATTTTCACAGCATGCCTGATAATATTTTTTTCTTCTGGAGAAAGTCTTATTTGTTTTATTTCGGCTAGAATGAAAGAAGCTTTTAATTTTTTAAAAGCCAGTTTAAGGTCAAAATTATTAGCCCCTTTACGCTATATTTGTTTTCGATAGTCTACAGAACAAACCTGTTATACAATAACTTGCTTTATTACTGTAACCTGCCTAGTTAACCTAATTAACCAAGTTAAGCCTTTAAATGTCACTTTAAGCTGTATAGAAGTGTCTTGAAGAATATCTAGTCAAATATTATGTGCTGTCATCATGGCAAAGGTAAAATAAATCAGTTATTAGAAATGAGTTATTAAAACTATTATGTTTAGAAATCTGTTGAAGAAATCTTTCCTCCGTTAAACAGAAATTGGGGGAAAATAATTTAGGGGGGCTAATAATTCTCACTTTAACTATATATATATATATATATATATATATATATAAATATATATAATATATAATAAAAATATAATATATATATATATATATATATATATATATATATATATATATATATATATATATATATATATGCTATTTAGTTTCAAGTATTATTGACCTAGGTTTATTTAAACAACTACTTTTATTGTTGACATTTTTTAAATACAAAAAAAAAAAGTTAAGTCAATCCTGCCGAAATTATTCACATACTCCTGGCAAATTCTGACTTAAAGTTACTTTAATCCAACCTGCAAGTTTTGTTTTGACCAGAAATGACACCGGTCTTACTCAAAAGATAATAAGATGTACAAAGGGTATCATTGTGGAAACAAAAAAAGCTTTTATTTACATTTGAACAAAACTTTTACGTCAGAATTTTCCTAGGAGTGTGAATAATTTCAGGCTTGACATCTTTAAAATAACAGAAGGTGCCATTTTAAGTTAACTTTGAATGGAATGAGTGTCCAATAAGTGTTTTAAATTGTAAATATAGTTTATTTTGTGAACGTTTACTTGTTGTTTACTGTTGTTCGAGTTGTGAGGTTTTTTTTCCTCATCCACATGTTTAAAATAACAGAAGGTGCCATTTTAAGTTAACTGTGCTCAAAATGGCTAGCTAAAATGTCTGAAAATAGTTGTCACTAGGCAGTGAGGTGAAAATGTTTGTTTAGTTGTTTTTGTATTATGTAAAATCCTACCCTGCAGAAAAATCCAGCTTAAACCAGCCTAGGCTGGTTTAATCTGGATTTTTCAGCAGGGTAATGTAAAAGAGTGAAAAAAAACACCTGAGTGAATCAATTAGTTGTTTTAGTTGCCATCTCGTGATTTCGGGACACCCATGTTACGCATTGTGTAATTGCATCTCGCGCTTGTTTAGTTTTCATCTATGGCTTACTCAAACACTTACTCAAGCTGAAACCACCGTTCACAAAATCTACAAATAATCCGTGACTCATAATAACGTCTTACAATTGCGAAAAAATAAAGAAATCCACCCTATAAATGTGTCAAGGCATGTCAAGACATTACAGCCAAGGGGCAAATCTAGTCGACGGTTTGAGCTGCCCCTCCTTTTTCTCCAGACCAAATATAAGGGCTCACTTTGTTCTCACGTTCACCACACCATCATCTCTACAGACCAACGAATATTTTTGCTGTCTAATACACCTGCAATTGTTCCACCATGGTATCAGCAGGGCTGCAGATGGTGGGTATAGCCCTGGCAGTGATTGGCTGGATTGGGGTTATAGTGGTTTGCATTCTCCCCATGTGGCAAGTCACTGCTTTTATCGGACAGAACATCGTCACGGCGCAGGTTACCTGGGAAGGAATTTGGATGAGTTGCGTGGTGCAGAGCACCGGACAGATGCAGTGTAAAGTCTATGACTCCATGTTGGCTCTGAGCTCAGATCTTCAAGCCGCTCGAGCTTTGTGTATCATCTCCATCCTAGTCGGTGTTGTTGGAATCCTCCTCGCGGCGGCGGGAGGAAAATGCACCACCTGCATTGAAGAAGAACGTGCCAAGGCTAAAGTCTGCGTTATTTCTGGAGCCATCTTCATCGTGGCTGGAGTTCTGTGCTTGATTCCTGTTTGCTGGACTGCTAATAATATTATACGCGACTTCTACAACCCTATGACCAACAGCGCGCAAAAGAGGGAACTCGGAGCGTCGTTGTTTATTGGCTGGGGGGCTTCGGCGCTGTTGATTATTGGCGGGTCGTTGCTTTGTGCTAATTGCCCTCCACAAGACCAGTACAAGGCAACGTACACCGCTCGATCTGGAGGAACCAAGGGGTATGTCTGAGGAACCAAAAGTACTACATTCAAGGAGGATATTGGGTTTTTTATGTGTATTGGATGCTGGACAGCTTTTGAGGTGGTGTTGTTGTTGACTATGATCGTGACCGTTATTTTATTTAAAATAACGGTCGACATATTCAAAAACTGACGGTTGTTGTTTGTTCATGCTACTTAAAATGAGCTAAAACAAGTGGAGCCAACTTAATTGTTTGATGTTCAATCCACTTAAATGTGTAAAAACTATTAAGTGATCTTAATTCATTCATTCAACTTGTTAAAATCAAATCTAATCGTTTTTTTTTTACAGTGTATGAGGCATTGTGAAATACAATGAACATGTCAGGGTGCCTGCTTTGAATGGAATAAGTGTTCAATAAGTGTTTTAAATTGTAAATATAGTTTGTTTTACTTGGTATTTACTGTTCTTCAAGTGGTCTTGTGAGTTTCTTTTTTCTCCTCATCTCAATATTTTGTGGAATGTTTTAAAACGCAACTAGGCATGGGACGATAAAGGTTTTCAAGGTATACCGCGGTTTGGAAAAGTCAAGGTTTTAAAACAATTTTTTAAACAATAAATTAAATACATTTTTAATAATTTTTAATAATGTTTTTTATTTACCTTTTTTAGGACAACAGCAGAAAAGATATCCAAAGATGCCATTTTTAATTGTAAAAAAAATCATTTTTTTAAATAAATCAAGACAGCAGATGTAAACAATCATTTATTTTAAGGATTTATCCTGAAATGTTTACTATTTCAAAATATTTCAAATGTTTCTTAAACTAAAATATATTGTGTTGAAAAGTGAAAAATGTGTTTTTTACCCAGGCATTTAAAAAGAATATTTTTAGAGCAGTAATCACAATAAGCTTTAGTCCAAGGTTATCATATTGTCAGAATCTTATACCAGCCCATGCCTACCTGTAACCACTGACATCCACAGTAGGAAAAACAAATACTATGGAAGTCAATGGTTACTAGTTTCCAGCATTCTTTAAAATATCTTCCTTTGTGTTCAACTGAAGGAAGAAACTCATGTTAAGTGATCAAGTAGGCTACATGATGACAGGATTTTCATTTTTGAGTGAATTGTTTCTTCAATTTTTCTTGTTTTTACTGAGAATCTCTTCAGAAGTGCTGAAACTGTACATGATTTTTTATTAAAGTTATCTTTGATCATATTTTGCTTCAATCCTATTTTGAAATTGTGACTGATATGCCACAGAACATTTCAAATACAAGAATTTTATCGAATAAATCCTTTAAAAACATTTATATTTTTGTTTTCCTTTTTCTTAATACACAGAAAAAGTGGACAAATCATTAATACAAATCCTCATAAAGTGTGAAGTCCTTGTTTAAAAAGCATTTTGAGCATCAAAGAAGAAAATTATTTACGATATCCCTCCTTAAAATACCACTTTGGTGTCACAAAGTCACAGAAAGTTTGAAGTCTTGTTTAGTGGGTGAATATATTGAACACTTCAGCCATCTACTGGCCATTATTGTCATAACATTGTTTATATCATTTATAAATATTAGTTATTTTCCACCAGATGGCAGCACTTTGCCCTTAATAATTCCCATATTTTCAAAGAATTACTCTAAAGTTCAAAATTTTTTACAGTAATTATATATTTATTTATGTATTGGAAATAGAGATGCTCAATAATATTTTGTATAGTCATTTACGTAACCATGCCTACACAGAAAGTCGACTTTCAAATATATGTAAAATATCCTGGAAGCATTCACTCATTCATTTCCTTTTCAGCTTAGTCCCTTAATTAATCAGGGGTTTGAACCGCCAACTTATCCAGCAATTGCTTTACGAAATGCACAGCTGCAACCCACCTCTGGGAAACACCCATACAATCTCATTCACACTACGACCAATTTAGCTTACCCAATTCACGCATATAGTGCATGTCTTTGGACTTGTGGGGGATCCTGGAAATATTATAGGTAACATTATAATAATATGAATTATAGTAAATCCTGCTTTTCTACAATGATTAGATTTAGGGATCAAGGTTTAGAATAAGGTTTGATTTGGGACTTTTCTACAATTTTGTGAAACTTGTAAGGCTAAATTAAACTGCCAAATCATACCAAAACAAGTATGTTTGCAAATTAGTTTAACTTTTCAAGTGTGTGCTAATTTAAAAGGTAAATAAATAAATAAAACCTAAAACACACAATATGTTTTGGAGGTGCTCCTAAAATTATTTACCTTATTTATTTATTTATTCTTTTTTTTATACCTGCTCCCTTGACAAGTAATTCATCATTCAGTCTTATAAAATATAACAAACATCCTTGGAGCTGAGTTGCTATGAAGCAAAGATTACATTTTTTTACTTTTATTTATTTATTGGATTTTGAAGATTTCACAGTGTGTTTATGAGAGAATACACAAAGCGATTGTTTATCCCAAATATATATATATATATATATACATTTTTTTTAATGTACTCACTATTGACTCTCCCTCAAGTGGGTTTAATTTTTTATGTTACTTCTGTTGAACACAAAATAAGAGGTTTTTGCAAAAAAAAAGTACTGGTGGATTTAACTGGTTTTGACAGCAAAGAAAATGTACCTTGTTAAAAAACCAAATAATTGTCTAAAGTGACATATTTGAAAAAACAAAGGTATTTTATTTACTAGCTAACAACCTTATCATTACATATAAAATTAAACATTATTAATCGCCACAGTGGAATGAACCGCCAACTTATCCAGCAGGTTTCACACGGCGAATGCCCTTCCAGCCACAACCCATCTCTGGGAAACATCCACACACACACTACAGACAATTTAGCCTACCCAATTCACCTGTACCGCATGTCTTTGGACTGTGGGGGAAATCGGAGCACCCTGAAGAAACCCACGCGAACGCAGGGAGAACATGCAAACTCCACATAGAAACACCAACTGAGCCGAGGCTCGAACCAGGGACCCAGCAACCTTCTTGCTGTGAGGCGACAGCACTACCTACTGCGCCACTACGTCGCCATGAAGCAAAGACAACATTTTAAAAATTGTATTTATTTATTGGATTTTGAAGATTCACAGTGTTTATTAGAGAATGCACACTTAAAGCGATTGTTCACCCCAAATATATATATATATATATATATATATATATATATATATATATATATTTTTTTTTTTTTTTTTTTTTAAATGTACTCACTACTCTCCCTCAAGTAAGTTAAATTTTTTATGTTACTTCTGTTGAACACAAAATAAGAGGTTTTTGCAAAAAAAAAAGTCCTGGTTGATTTAGCTGGTTTTGACAGCAAAGAAAATTTACCTTGTTAAAAATCAAAGAATTGTCTAAAGTGACATGTTTGAAAAAAAGGTATTTTATTTACTAGCTAACAACCTTATCATTACATATAAAATTAAACATTATTAATCGCGACAGTGGAATGAACCGCCAACTTATCCAGCAAGTTTTTACACAGCGGATGCCCTTCCAGCCGCAAGCCATCTCTGGGAAACATCCACACTTAGCCTAAACCAGCCTAGGATGGTTGGCTGGTTTTAGCTGGTCAACAAGCCTGGTTTTAGAGGGGTTTTGGCCAATTCCAGACTGGTTTCCAGCCATTTTCAGCCTGGTTTTAGCTGGACAGGCTGGGAGATGACCAGCTAAAACCAGCTTGACCAGCTTAAACCAGAATGGTCAAGCTGGTTTTAGATGGTTTTAGCTGGTCACTCTCCAGCCTGACCAGCTAAGACCAGAGTGGAATTGGTTGGAAACCAGCCTGGAAGTAGCCAAAACCCCTCTAAAACCAGCCTGGAAGTAGCCAAAACCCCTCTAAAACCACCCTGGATGTAGCCAAAACCCCTCTAAAACCAGCCTGGAAGTAGCCAAAACCCCTCTAAAACCAGCCTGGAAGTGGCCAAAACCCCTCTAAAACCAGCCTGGAAGTGGCCAAAACCCCTCTAAAACCAGGCTGGTCGACCGTAGCTAAAACCAGTCAACCATCCTAGGCTGGTTTAAGCTGGATTTTTCAGCAGGGCTCTTTAAGAGTCATTCTTTTTCCGGCGGCACATTCTTTTTCAAATCTCCAGAATCTTGTTAAACAGGATTAAACACACACACAACAAACAAACACACACACACACACAAACTCCTCCCAGGGCGGATCTGCAGCTAACAGGCCATCACTTCCTGCTTGTCCTCCACACACATATGGGTTAGGATCACACCAACGGCTGCTTTTGCTTATCATCCCACAACGGCTTCAATATGGGAAGGATTGCTAAAGAAGTGGCCGGCCAGACCCTGTGCTTCATCGGTTTTGTGGGCATCTGCATCTGCTGTGGCATTCCCATGTGGCGGGTCACCACCTACATCGGCGCCAACATCGTGACAGGCCAGATCGTGTGGGACGGCCTGTGGATGAACTGCGTGATGCAGAGCACGGGACAGATGCAGTGCAAAATACAGGACTCCATCATGAACCTGACCCAGGATCTGCAGGTGGCGCGCGCACTGGTCATCATCTCCATACTGATCGGATTCATGGGCATGCTGCTGACGTTTATTGGTGGACAGTGCAGTAGCTGCCTGAAGAACGAGTCCTCCATGGCTAAAGTGCTCATTCTGGGAGGCATCCTGTGCATTGTTGCTGGAGTCCTGCTTCTGATTCCTGTGTGCTGGTCTGCGGCGTACACCATCTCCGATTATGTTAGTGTGACCACCATTCAGACGCAAAAGAGAGAGCTTGGAGCGTCTATATATGTCGGCTGGGGTGCTTCAGCGTTCCTGTTATTCGGAGGGATTATTCTGTGCACTTCTTGCCCACCCAGAGAAAATATCTACCCACAGTACCCAGGCATGTACCCGTACCAGGGACCGGTGTATGGGCATCAGTACGCTCCGAGTACAGTTTACAAACCGTATCATCCTCCTGTTGCTTATACACCTGCTCCAAGGCAATATCTTTAACACAAAGGACGGACGTCGTCTAAAGACTACTCCTGAAGATGGAAAGAATTGTGTTGAGCTGAATCAAAACAATTCTTGAGTTTTTGGGGAGACAATTTAAATGTTTTAAGCTCAATCAACCTCAATTTGTAAAGACATTTAAGTTGACTTGATCGATTTGTGTTGGGACAGCATGGAGGGATTGTGTGGAACTCAACACTTATAGCGTGTATCTGTATTTTAAAGTGATAATTCACCCAAAAATGAAGATTCTGTCATCATTTACTCACTATTTTTGTTTTTATTTCTTGTTAAGCACAGAAAGGAAGGAAACTGGAAACCTGTAACCATTGACTTCCATTGTATTTGTTGTACTCAATGGTTTCAGTCAGTCAGCATTCTTCAAAATATCTTCCTTTGTGTTCAACAGAAACTGGTAAAGGTTTGGAAACACTTGAGGGAGAATAAATAAGGCGGTAAATGTAGATTTTTGTGTGAACTGTCCCTTTAATTCAGTGTTTATCTGAATTGAATGTATTTAAAAGCAATTTTATTGAGGTCTTGTACTTCCCCAAGCTTTAAACGAAGATGATCTGGAAAAGCTAAAACTTGTTGGTCTTGTTTTTGAGATTTTCGCAGTGCTAATGAATGATGTTTGTTTCAACATGGTCATATTTGAAGGTACTATAAAGTATATTTCTTGACTGACTCTCTGAATAAATACTCTAATGCCATTAATCTGATCAAAATCAAGATCACAAAGACTTTTTACTTCCAAAAACTCTTTACTCCAACATATTTCTCAAGGAGGAACAATATAAAGACAATATCTGTTGCATATTCATCTGCTCCGTCAATATCTTTAACTCAAAGGACGGACATCTTCTAAAACTGCTCCTGAAGATGGAAAGAATTGTGTTGAGCTGAATCAAAACAATTCTTGAGTTTTTGAGGAGACAATTTAATTGTTTTAAGCTCAATCAACCTCAATTTGTAAAGACATTTAAGTTGACTTGATCGATTTGTGTTGGGACAGCATGAAGGGATTGTGCGGAACTCAACATTTACAGCGTATATCTGTATTTTAAAGTGATAATTCACCCAAAAATGACGATTCTGTCATCATTTACTCACTATTTTTGTTTCTTGTTGAACACAGAAGATGATAGTTTAAAGGAAACTATAAAGGATATTTCTTGACTGACTTTTTTAAAATAAATGCTCTAATGCCATTAATCTGACCAAAATCAAGATCACAAAGACTTTTTACTTCCAAAAACTCTTTACTCCAACATATTTCTCAAGGAGGAACAATATAAAGACAATATCTGTTGCTTACTCATCTGCTCCGTCAATATCTTTAACTCAAAGGACGGACATCTTCTAAAACTGCTCCTGAAGATGGAAAGAAAATACTCAAAAAAAGATGTTTGTTGTTTGTTCAAACTACATGTAAAAATGAGCTGAATCAACACAATTCTTATGCTTTTTGGGGACAACTTGATTGTTTTAAGCTCAATCTACTTAAATTTGAAAAGACATTTAAGTTAACTTAATTGATTTGTGTTGGGGCAACATGAAGGATTAGTGTGGAACCCAACATTTACAGCATATATCTGTACTTTAAAGAGATAATTCACCCAAAAATTAAGATTCTGTCATCATTTACTCACTGTTTTTTGTTTTTGTTTCCTCTTGAACACAATGAAAGATAGTTTAAAGGAAACTGGAAACCTGTAACCATTGACTTCCATTGTATTTGTTTTTCCTGGTTTCAGTCAGTGAGCATTCTTCAAAATATCTTCTTTTGTGTTCCACAGAAACTGCAAGGTTTGGAAACACTTGAAGGAGAGTAAATAGGAGTAAATTTAGATAACTGTGTGAACTGTCCCTTTAATTCAGTGTTTGGCTGAATTGAATGTATTTAAAGCAAGTCTATTGAGGTCATGTACTTCGCCAAGCTTTACATAGAGATGATCTCCTGTTTTCTCTACTGGAGATTTTCGCAGTGCTAATGAGTGATGTTTGTTTCAACATGGTCATATTTGTAAGTACTAAAGTATATTTCTTGACTGACTCTCTGAATAAATGCTCTAATGCCATTAATCTGACCAAAATCAAGATCACAAAGACTTTTTACTTCCAAAAACTCTTTACTCCAACATGTTTCTCAAGGAAGAACAATATAAAGACAATATCTGTTGCTTACTCATCTGCTCCAAATCAATGTCTTTAACCCAAAAAGTTTATTTTGTGGGGACAATTTAATTGTTTTATACTGAATCTACTTAAATATTAGGGATATTTAACTTAACCTTATCGATTTGTGTTGGAACAACATGAAGGATTAGTGTGGAACCCAGCATTTAAAGCAGGGGTCACCAATCTCGGTTCTGGATGGCCGGTGTCCCTGCAGGGTTTAGCTCCAACTTGCCTCAACACACCTGCCTGGATGTTTGTAGTATACCTAGTAAGACCTTGATTAGCTTTTTCAGGTCAGTTTGATTAGAGTTGGAGCTAATCTCTGTAGGGCACCGGCCCTCCGGGAACAAGTTTGGTGACCCCTGATTTACAGCGTATATCTGTACTTTAAAGTGATAATTCACCCAAAAATGAAGATTCTGTCATCATTTACTCGCTATTTTAGTTTTTGTTTCTTATTGAACACAGAAGATGATAGCTTAAAAGAAACTGGAAACCTGTAACCATTGACTTCCATTGTATTTGTTTCACTCAATGGTTTCAGTCAGTCAGCATTCTTCAAAATATCTTCTTTTGTGTTCAACAGAATCTCGTAAAGGTTTGGAAACACTTGAGGGAGAGTAAATAAGGCAGTAAATTTAGATTTTTGCGTGAACTGTCCCTTTAATTCAGTGTTTGGCTGAACTGAATGTATTTAAAGTAAGTCTATTGAGGTCATGCACTTCGCCAAGCTTTAAACGGAGATGATCTGGAAAAACTAAAACTTGTTGGACTTGTTTTGTGATGTTTGTTTCAACATCGTAACATTTGTAAGTACTAAAGGATATTTCTTGACTGACTCTTCCTATAAAAATGCTCCAGGGCCATTAGCAGAGCCTATAGATCCCAATCAAGATCAAGAAGACTTATTTCTCTTTACTCCAACATATTACTCATGGAGAAACATTATAAACACCACATCTGTTGCTTATTGGTCTGCTCCAAGGCAATCCCTTTAACTGAAGGACATTTATCTACTGGCTTTTTCTAAAACAGTGCTCCTCAAAATGTACAGAGAAATCTGTACCTACTTGGATTCATTGAAACTGTATTATTTATTATACAAAAACAACTATATTGAGTGTCTTGTTTGTTGCCAGGCTTTAAATGGAGATGATCTGGAAAAACTAAAAACTTGTCGGACTCGTTTTCTCTACTACAGATTTTAGTGTTGCTAATGGATGACGTTTGTTTTAACATGGTCATGTTGTTGTATTGAAACTGAAGCCTGTATTTTTGTGAGTGTGTGACTTTGATTTTCCACTTGGAGACTGTGATTTTGTAAATAAATATATTTCTGAATTATTATAAATGATCTTAATATAACATTTATATTTTTCTATTTCATAACCTGCCAGCAGTTACAATTAAATTGATTACAGTGGAAACTGATGATGTAATTGTATGAATTGTATGTAATTGTGGAAAGTACCATGAATCCTTCTAGGAAAGTGACAGGAAATAACCACATTGTGTTAATGTAGCATTGGTTTAAAGCTCAAAGTACAGAAAAAAAAGAAAACTAACCAGAAAGATTTTAAAATAAAATAATAACAGGTTCTTTTAATTTAGTTTAAAGTGAAATAACTGACCATAAACAAAGGAGGTGGACTAAAATGCTCATTTTAGGGGGGAAAAAATCTGATTTACTAATATTTCAAACGAATCTAAATGTGCTTCACGTGCATTCAAATGAATTATCAGTGTGATTATCAGAGTATGACAAGGTTTGGTAAATAAATTTTCTCCCATATTTAAATTTAAAAGCATTCATCAGTAAGTACTTTAACTCTTTTTACTTAAATATCTAGTGCTTTTGGTCTTTGAATGAAGTAATATTGAAATTATACCTCTATAATAGTAATAGGAGTAATATTTTATTAGGGTATCTGTACTCAAGTGTAGAGTAAAGTGTGTATATATATATATATATATATATATTGTAAAATGGCAAATTGTTTAAGCCTCAAACTAAAGAGCCCGCATGACACCACATCACGTCAAAATAAAAAATAAAAAAGATCATCCACAGCTTTGAAATATCGATAATCAACGTGATTTGTAGATATTTTTGCTATATTTTGCTATATATATATATATATATATATATATATATATATATATATATATATATATATATATATATATATATATATATAAAAAAAACTGGAACAAGTTGTACCTCTTGCTTTGTTCAACTATATGTTCCCCTGTATAATAGACAGCCATTTTAGCTTGCCCTAATAATAAACAAAACATGTAAAAGTTTACTCTGGACATATATAAATCCAAAAATAAAAAATTGTAGCAGAAAAAGTCTTGTCTCTGTAAAAATTCAGTCATATTGTCCCAACACATATCGATTAAGTTAACTTGAGGGCTGCACGGTGGCGCAGTGGGTAGCACATTCGCCTCACAGCAAGAAGGTCGCTGGTTTGAGCCTCAGCTGGGTCAGTTGGCATTTCTGTGTGGAGTTTGCATGTTCTCCCCGTGTTGCCGTGGGTTTCCTCTGGGTGCTCCGGTTTACCCCACAGCCCAAACACATGTGGCATAGGTGAATTGGGTAGGCTAAAATGTCCGTAGCGTGTGAGTGTAAATAAGTGTGTGGATGTTTCCCGGTGATAGACTGTGGCTGGAAGGGCATCCACTGCGTTGAACATATGCTGCACAAGTTGACGGTTCATTCCGCTGTGGCGACCCCAGATTAATAAAGGGATTAAGCAGAAAAGAAAATTAAAAAATGAATGAAAGTAGATTGAGCATAAAAATTAAGTTGTCCCAACAAAATCTCAATAATTGTGTTGATTCAGCAAATTTTAAGTTAGTAGTTTAAACAAGCAACAATAAAGGTGTGTTGTTGAGTTGAATAACACACGCAAACAACTAAAACAGTAAACAAAGGCTCATGAATAAAATACAGTCTCTCTTAACCTCTCTTATTTTAACCCACAAAGATAAAAAATACAGTCTCTCTCAAAAGTTAACATTAAAAATGTTTTCTCTGGACACATTTAAACCTGCAAAAAATAAATTGTGGTAGAAAAAGTCTCGCCGCTGTAAAAAAATCCACAAAAATCCTTCATAATGTCCCAACACAAACTGATTAAGTTAAGACCTTGAAAACCTAACATATTAAACAAATTCAAGTGGATTAAACATACAAAATTTAAGTTGTTCCAACAAAATCTCAATAATTGTGTTGATTCAGCAAATTTTTAGTAAGTAGTTTGAACAAGCAACAATAAAGGTGTGTTGTTGAGTTGAGTAACTCACAAACAACTAAAACAGTAAACAAAGGCTCATAAAGGAAACACAGTTTCTCTCAGAAGTGAACATTAAACACATTTTCTCTGGACACATATTAACCCACATTATATATTTATTTATATATAGCTGAAAACTGTTTTGCATCTGTAAAAATGCTGGGTTCCACATAATTCATTCAGATTGCCCCAACACAAATCAATTAAGTTAACTTTACAGATTTAATCAATTCAAGGGGATTAAACATACAAAATTTAAGTTGTCCCAACAAAATCTCAATATTTATGTTGATTCAGCTCATTTTTATTCAATAGTTTGAACAAACATCACAAAAGTGTGTTGTTGAATTGAGTAACACATACAAACAATTAATACAGTAAACAAAGGCTCATACTTAAATGAAACAGATTCTCTCAGAAATTAACATTAAGAAAATTTCTCTGGACACTTTTAAACCCACATCAAATAAATGTGTAGAAGTCTCTAGTCTGTAGCAGAAGTCTCGCCAAAACACAAAAACAACTAAAACAAACACAAACAAACAAACACAACTAAAACAGTAAACAAAGGCTAACGAATAAATTACAGTTTCTCTTAACCTGTCTTATTTTAACCCACAAAGATAAAATAAAAAATACAGTCTCTCTCAAAAGTTAACATTAAGAATATTTTCTCTGGACACATTTAAACCCACATTTATTTATTTATATATATATACATATATATATATATATATATATATATATATATATATATAGCAAAAAAAGGTCTCGCCGCTGTGAAAATGCTGGGTTCCACATAGTTCATTCATGTTGTCCCAACAAAAAATGGATTAAGTTTAAGTGGATTACCAAATTTAAGTGGTTTGAACATAACAAATTTAAGTTGCCGCAACAAAATCTCAATTATTGAGTTGATTCAGCTCAATTTAATTAAGTAGTTTGAACAATCATCAGAAAAGTGCAAAATGCAGTTTCACTCAGAAGTGAACATCAAAACATTTAATCTGGACACATTTAAACTCACATAAAATAAAGACTGTAGCAGCAAAAGTCTTGCCAAAAACACAAACAACTAAAAGAGTAAACAAAGGCTTATACATAAATAAAATACAGTTTCTCTCAGAGGTCAACATTTCTCTGGATACATTTAATACCCCCCCCCCCCCCCCCCCAAAAAAAAGGGGGAAAAAAAGTAGATTTAGCATAAAAATTAAGTTGTTCCAACAAAATCTCAATAATTGTGTTGATTCAGCAAATTTTAAGTTAGTAGTTTAAACAAGCAACAATAAAGGTGTGTTGTTGAGTTGAGTAACTCACAAACAACTAAAACAGTAAACAAAGGCTCATGAATAAAATACAGTCTCTCTTAACCTCTCTTATTTTAACCCACAAAGATAAAAAATACAGTCTCTCTCAAAAGTTAACATTAAAAATGTTTTCTCTGGACACATTTAAACCCGCAAAAAATAAATTGTGGTAGAAAAAGTCTCGCCGCTGTAAAAAATCCACAAAAATCCTTCATAATGTCCCAACACAAACTGATTAAGTTAAGACCTTGAAAACCTAACATATTAAACAAATTCAAGTGGATTAAACATACAAAATTTAAGTTGTTCCAACAAAATCTCAATAATTGTGTTGATTCAGCAAATTTTTAGTAAGTAATTTGAACAAGCAACAATAAAGGTGTGTTGTTGAGTTGAGTAACTCACAAACAACTAAAACAGTAAACAAAGGCTCATAAAGGAAACACAGTTTCTCTCAGAAGTGAACATTAAACATATTTTCTCTGGACACATATTAACCCACATTATATATTTATTTATATATAGCAGAAAAAGTCTTGCATCTGTAAAAATGCTGGGTTCCACATAATACATTCAGACTGCCCCAACACAAATCAATTAAGTTAACTTTACAGATTTAATCAATTCAAGGGGATTAAACATACAAAATGTAAGTTGTCCCAACAAAATCTCAATATTTATGTTGATTCAGCTCATTTTAATTCAATAGTTTGAACAAACATCACAAAAGTGTGTTGTTGAATTGAGTAACACATACAAACAATTAATACAGTAAACAAAGGCTCATACTTAAATGAAACAGATTCTCTCAGAAATTAACATTAAGAAAATTTCTCTGGACACATTTAAACCCACATCAAATAAATGTGTAGAAGTCTCTAGTCTGTAGCAGAAGTCTCGCCAAAACACAAAAACAACTAAAACAAACACAAACAAACAAACACAACTAAAACAGTAAACAAAGGCTAACGAATAAATTACAGTTTCTCTTAACCTCTCTTATTTTAACCCACAAAGATAAAATAAAAAATACAGTCTCTCTCAAAAGTTAACATTAAGAATATTTTCTCTGGACACATTTAAACCCACATTTATTTATTTATTTATATATATATATATATATATATATATATATATATATATATATATATATATAGCAAAAAAAGGTCTCGCCGCTGTGAAAATGCTGGGTTCCACATAATTCATTCATGTTGTCCCAACAAAAAATGGATTAAGTTTAAGTGGATTACCAAATTTAAGTGGTTTGAACATAACAAATTTAAGTTGCCGCAACAAAATCTCAATTATTGAGTTGATTCAGCTCAATTTAATTAAGTAGTTTGAACAATCATCAGAAAAGTGCAAAATGCAGTTTCACTCAGAAGTGAACATCAAAACATTTAATCTGGACACATTTAAACTCACATAAAATAAAGACTGTAGCAGCAAAAGTCTTGCCAAAACACAAACAACTAAAAGAGTAAACAAAGGCTTATACATAAATAAAATACAGTTTCTCTCAGAGGTCAACATTTCTCTGGATACATTTAATACCCCCCCCCCCCCCCCCCCCCAAAAAAAAGGGGGAAAAAAAAGTAGATTTAGCATAAAAATTAAGTTGTTCCAACAAAATCTCAACAATTGTGTTGATTCAGCAAATTTTAAGTTAGTAGTTTAAACAAGCAACAATAAAGGTGTGTTGTTGAGTTGAGTAACTCACAAACAACTAAAACAGTAAACAAAGGCTCATGAATAAAATACAGTCTCTCTTAACCTCTCTTATTTTAACCCACAAAGATAAAAAATACAGTCTCTCTCAAAAGTTAACATTAAAAATGTTTTCTCTGGACACATTTAAACCTGCAAAAAATAAATTGTGGTAGAAAAAGTCTCGCCGCTGTAAAAAAATCCACAAAAATCCTTCATAATGTCCCAACACAAACTGATTAAGTTAAGACCTTGAAAACCTAACATATTAAACAAATTCAAGTGGATTAAACATACAAAATTTAAGTTGTTCCAACAAAATCTCAATAATTGTGTTGATTCAGCAAATTTTTAGTAAGTAGTTTGAACAAGCAACAATAAAGGTGTGTTGTTGAGTAACTCACAAACAACTAAAACAGTAAACAAAGGCTCATAAAGGAAACACAGTTTCTCTCAGAAGTGAACATTAAACACATTTTCTCTGGACACATATTAACCCACATTATATATTTATTTATATATAGCAGAAAAAGTCTTGCATCTGTAAAAATGCTGGGTTCCACATAATTCTTTCAGACTGCCCCAACACAAATCAATTAAGTTAACTTTACAGATTTAATCAATTCAAGGGGATTAAACATACAAAATATAAGTTGTCCCAACAAAATCTCAATATTTATGTTGATTCAGCTCATTTTAATTCAATAGTTTAAACAAACATCACAAAAGTGTGTTGTTGAATTGAGTAACACACACAAACAATTAATACAGTAAACAAAGGCTCATACTTAAATGAAACAGATTCTCTCAGAAATTAACATTAAGAAAATTTCTCTGGACACATTTAAACCCACATCAAATAAATGTGTAGAAGTCTCTAGTCTGTAGCAGAAGTCTCGCCAAAACACAAAAACAACTAAAACAAACACAAACAAACAAACACAACTAAAACAGTAAACAAAGGCTAACGAATAAATTACAGTTTCTCTTAACCTCTCTTATTTTAACCCACAAAGATAAAATAAAAAATACAGTCTCTCTCAAAAGTTAACATTAAGAATATTTTCTCTGGACACATTTAAACCCACATTTATATATATATAGCAGAAAAGGTCTCGCCGCTGTAAAAATGCTGGGTTCCACATAATTCATTCATGTTGTCCCAACAAAAAATGGATTAAGTTTAAGTGGATTACCAAATTTAAGTGGTTTGAACATAACAAATTTAAGTTGCCGCAACAAAATCTCAATTATTGAGTTGATTCAGCTCAATTTAATTAAGTAGTTTGAACAATCATCAGAAAAGTGCAAAATGCAGTTTCACTCAGAAGTGAACATCAAAACATTTGATCTGGACACATTTAAACTCACATAAAATAAAGACTGTAGCAGCAAAAGTCTTGCCAAAAACACAAACAACTAAAAGAGTAAACAAAGGCTTATACATAAATAAAATACAGTTTCTCTCAGAGGTCAACATTTCTCTGGATACATTTAATACCCCCCCCCCCCCCCCCCCAAAAAAAAGGGGGAAAAAAAGTAGATTGAGCATAAAAATTAAGTTGTTCCAACAAAATCTCAATAATTGTGTTGATTCAGCAAGTTTTAAGTTAGTAGTTTAAACAAGCAACAATAAAGGTGTGTTGTTGAGTTGAATAACTCACAAACAACTAAAACAGTAAACAAAGGCTCATGAATAAAATACAGTCTCTCTTAACCTCTCTTATTTTAACCCACAAAGATAAAAAATACAGTCTCTCTCAAAAGTTAACATTAAAAATGTTTTCTCTGGACACATTTAAACCCGCAAAAAATAAATTGTGGTAGAAAAAGTCTCGCCGCTGTAAAAAAATACACAAAAATCCTTCATAATGTCCCAACACAAACTGATTTAGTAAAAAAAAAAAAAAAAAAAAAAATATATATATATATATATATATATATATATATATATATATATATATATATATATATATATATATATATATATATATGTGTGTGTAAAAAATGCTGGGTTACACAAAATTCATTCATATTGTTCTAACACAAATCAATTAAGTTAACTTAACATATTTAACAAAAGTCGATTGAACATAACAAATGTAAGTTGTCCCAACAAAATCTCAATAACTGTGTTGATTCAGCTCATTTCAATTAAGTTTTTTGAACAAACATCAGAGAAGTGTGTTGTTGAGTTGAGTAACACACACAAACAACTAAAACAGTAAACAAAGGCTCATACAGGAAACACAGTTTCCCTCAGCATGCAAACAGAAAGAGAGACTCTCAGCAAGGACTTGTGTGTCACAAACCCAATACTCTCGGTTGATGACTACATTCGTTAGCATCTCTGATGTTTATTGTTCCCCATTGATTTGCATCTCACCGAAACTAGCCTGGCCACTACCTGCAAACACAGCCGAGGAATCCGGTCAATCTTGAAAATTCACCTCCAACCCAGTTTCATCAGCCTGGAACTCCTCCCATTCTGGACACAATCTTAAAACTCTGTAAGCCTGTGCAGTGAAGTCACTACAACCCTTCGGAGCGGACAGAAAACACACGTTCAACTTCACAAGCCCACAAACAAACAAGCAAACATGGTGTCTATGTGCCGAGAGATCCTGGGCATGTGCCTGGCCATCATTGGCTTCTTGGGAGCCATTATTATTTGTGCTTTGCCCATGTGGAAGGTGACCGCGTTCATCGGAGCCAACATCGTGACGGCGCAGACCATCTGGGAGGGTTTGTGGATGAACTGTGTGATGCAGAGCACGGGACAGATGCAGTGTAAGATCTACGACTCGCTCCTGGCCTTGCCTCAGGACCTGCAGGCCGCTCGAGCTCTCGTGGTCATCGCCATCATCGTCAGCTTTTTCGCGCTCATCCTGGGCATCGCCGGCGGGAAATGCACCAACTTCGTGGAAAGGGAAGACGCCAAGGCTAAAGTGTCCATCGCCAGCGGCGTGATCTTCATCATTGCTGGAGTTCTGGTGCTGGTGCCTGTTTGCTGGTCCGCCAACACCATCATCAGAGATTTCTACAATCCTCTGCTCACTGATGCTCAGCGGAGGGAGATGGGGGCTTCGCTGTACATCGGATGGGGCGTCGCAGCGCTGCTGATCATCGGAGGTGGAATCCTGTGCAGCTCCTGCCCTCCAAAAGATGAAAAATACAACATGAAATACTCCCAGCCGCGCTCCACCGCCACCAGCAGAGCCTACGTCTGAGAGCTACGCGGAGATCGCAAAGACTTTTGGAGACTCTCTCTCACTCTTTCGTTCTAAGACTTGCCAAGAAGATCAATTGAAAGACTGTGTCTGATATTGCATATATAGTGGTTATATAGTGAGGATGTATATATGTGCTGTGATTATACACACTTTTGAGCTGAATGAACACAACTCCTGAGATTTCTGTTGGCACAACTTAACTGTTTCATGTCAAATTCACTTAACGGCTAATAACTTAATCGATTTGTGTTGTGCCGACGTGAATGAACTGCGTGGAAGCCTGCATTTGTTTTACAGCGTGCACTCAAGAAAATGATGTTTGCAGATGTTTTGGAAAATAATGCTTGCCGTTTGTTCAAACTACTCATTTGAAATGAGCTGAAACAACACAATTCTTGAGTTTCTTTGGGACAACCTAATTGTTTTATGCTCAATTCAATTAAAATTGTTAAAAAATAATAAGCTTACTTAATTTATTGATGTTCCACCATGAAAAATTGACTAAATAAATTTGATTGTTGGTGGTTCATTCCACTGTGGCGACCCTGGATTGATAAAATTATTTTAAAAAATAATTAGCTAACGTAATTCATTGATGTTCCACCAACAAAATTTTGGCTAAATAAACTTATTTGTTGGCGGTTCATTCCACTGTGGTGACCCTGGATTAATAAAGTTATAAAAAATTTAAAAAATAGCTAACTTAATTCCTTGGTGTTCCACCATCAAAAATTGACTAAATAAACTTAATACTCGGTGGTTGATTCCATTGTGGCGAATAAAATTATAAAAAACATATTAAGCTATTTTAATTCCTTGATGTTTTCCCAACATAATTTGATTAAGTTAACTTAGTTGAGTGAATTCAACATAAAACAATTAAGTTTTCCCTCCAAAAAACTCAAGCTAATTTTAAATAAGTAGTTTGAAGAAGGCATTTATTGAGTGCAGATCCCTGAAAGAGAAAAATGTGCATTTATAATGTGATTTTATTCAATATTTTTTGTTGATTTTTAGTTTTTTTTTAACAATGCATTCTTATATTATACGTTTAATATGACGAGAGGAATAGTTTCTTTAAATGTAAGACGTAAGCTTTAATACTGTAAAGATTAAATGTGCATTAACTTAGCTTTTGTGTTTGTTTGTCAGTGTATAAATTAACTTTTTTTTTTTGCATAAAGATGTCTTAATCAGTAAAATTGTCCTGATATTTGTTTTTGTTTATTATAATAAATGGTTCTGTAAAACTGTAAATTGATTTGCTCATTCATATTGACATCAACTATAGTTATATTGGCAAACACATCATGTAAGAGTCATTGTTTACAACCAAAAATTAACAGACACACACACACACACACACACACACACATATGTATATATATATATATATATATATATATATTGCAGTAAAAAAATCGATGCATCTATTAGTTATTATCCATTTAATCGAGCTATAATACCTTAGATATATATATATATATATATATATATATATATATATATATATATATATATATTGTAGAGTTTGATTGCAAATTACCAAACAAATTAATCCAATTTGTGCTGCTCACTGCTGGTGGATGTAAAAAAAGTTGCAACACTATACACTAAATATAATTATTAATTAATATTATTATTATTACATTACTATGGTCTATTACATGTAGCAAGAAACAGAATTACTTTTTGTTTGTTTGTTTTTGATCTGCAGCCACACCTAAATTCAAGTTCTTTCAGTTCTTCCTGGAAATGCAACGCTTATGTTTACATGCTGGAGAATGGTATATGACCAATCAGAATTAAGTCAAATTGATTGTGTTATTGTAGATATTTTATGATGGAGCACAAAGATATATGCAGTTCCTATGGGAACTGTGTGGTCAGTAGTTAGTGAATATCAAAACACACGACTTAATTAACACGAATTAAAAGTGTGAATTTCAGTAAATGAGCTTATTTTACCCTTATTTTAGTAATTTAGCTTATTTAGTATTTAATTATTTCCCAAATGTAGGGAAGTTTGAATATTTTACAAGTCGTTTTGCAGAGACCATTGCTTTTAAGGTCTCTGAAACTGGTTCGACAGGTCGTCGGCAATGATAATAGCAAAGGCATCTGCGTGAAACTGTTGGACTGAAACTTTGGTTTGAAGGTTTCCCAAACTGGTTATACGAGATGTCTAAAGCAGACACGAGCAACGATCTGATAATTAACAACAGGATGTGGGTCACAAACTTATAAAACCAGATGTCTTTCCTAAGGTAAAAAGTAAGCTCAAATAGACCTGCACTGTAAAAATATCCGTAAACTGGCAGTTTTCTGTATTTTGTGATTCATGTTTTTATTTTTCCTCATTTAATTCTGCTTTTGAATTGCATTATGGGAGCTCGATCTCTCTTCCAACAACTTTTAACCTTGAAAAGTTGGAAAAAGTGACTTTTATCAAGGCAAGGCAAGTTTATTTATGTAGCACATTATATACACCGTGGCTATACAAAGTGCTTTACATAAACAGGAATAAAAGAGACAAGTATAAGAAAAATAAAAACAAATGAAAACAGCATAAAGATAGTTACAGACACTGTAAACTACTGGCAGCTGTGGTTCCAGCCATTTTACTGTAATTTTACAGTTTGCAACTGTTTTTCAAGTTTACAGTTGCGATGTAGTTTCACAGTAAAATACTGGCAGCTGTGGATTTAAATGTTTACTGTAATTTACAGGTTTTGTCGCCTTTTTTACATTTATGCTGTAATTTCACATTAAAGTAGTGCCAGCTTTTCAGTTGTGCTGTAAAATTGTAAAATACCGCCAGCGGTGGTTCCAGACATTTACTGTAATTTATAGGTTTTGCCAATATTTTAAATTGTTTAGTCGTGCTGTAAGTTCAAAGTAAAGTACTGGCAGCTGTGGTTCCATTCCAGCTATTTACTGTAATTTTACAGTTTGCCGCTGTTTTTCTATTTTATTGTTGCTGTTATTTTACAGTAAAGTACTGGCAGCTGTGATTCAAGAATTTTACAGTAATTTTACAGTTTTGCCACTATTTTACATTGTTTAATTGAGCTGTACTTTTTACAGTAAAGTACTGGCAGCTTTGGTTCCAACTATTTACTGTAATTTTACAGTTTGCAGCTGTTTTTCTATTTTATAGTTGCTGTAATTTTACAGTAAAGTACTGGCAGCTGTGGATTCAGACAATTACTGTAATTTTACAGTTTTGCCACTATTTTACATTGTTTGGTTGTGTTGTAATTTCACAGTAAAGTACTGGCAGCTTTGGTTCCAGCTATTTACTGTAAGTTTACAGTTTGCTGCTGTTTTTTCTATTTTATAGTTACTGTAATTTTACAGTAAAGTACTGGCAGCTGTGGATTCAGATATTTACTGTAATTTGACAGTTTTGTCACCATTTGTACATTTTACAGTTGAGCTGTAATTTCATAATAATGTACTGCCAGTGGTGGTTCCCACATTTTACTGTAATTTTACAGTTTGCAGCTGTTTTTCTATTTTATAGTTGCTGTAATTTTACAGTAAAATACTGGCAGCTGTGGATTCAGATATTTACTGTAATTTGACAGTTTTGCCACTATTTTACATTGTTTAGTTGTGCTGTAATTTCACAGTAAAGTACTGGCAGCTTTGTTTCCAGCTATTTACTGTAATTGTACAGTTTGCAGCTGTTTTTCTTTTTTATAGTTGCTGTAATTTCACAGTAAAGTACTGGCAGCTTTGGTTCCAGCTATTTACGATAATTTTACAGTTTGCAGCTGTTTTTCTATTTTATAGTTGCTGTAATTTTACAGTAAAGTACTGGCAGCTGTGGATTCAGACAATTACTGTAATTTGACAGTTTTGTCACCATTTGTACATTTTACAGTTGAGCTGTAATTTCATAATAATGTACTGCCAGTGGTGATTCCCACATTTTACTGTAATTTTACATTTTGCCGCTGTTTTTCATTTGTACAATTGTGCTGTAAATACACAGTAAAGTACTGGCAGCTGTAGCTTCAGACAATTACTGTAATTTTACAGTTTTGCCACTATTTTACATTGTTTAGTTGTGCTGTAATTTCACAGTAAAGTACTGGCAGCTTTGGTTCCAACTATTTACTGTAATTTTACAGTTTGCAGCTGTTTTTCTATTTTATAGTTGCTGTAATTTTACAGTAAAGTACTGGCAGCTGTGGATTCAGATATTTACTGTAATTTGACCGTTTTTTCACCATTTGTACATTTTACAGTTGAGCTGTAATTTCATAATAATGTACTGCCAGTGGTGGTTCCCACAATTTACTGTAATTTTACAGTTTGCACTGTTTTTTAATTGTACAATTGTGCTGTAAAATGACAGTAAAGAACTGGCAGCTGTAGTTTTAGCCATTTACTGTAATTTGACAGATTATTTTTACATTTTACTGTTGTGCTGTAGCTTCACAGTAAACACTGGCAGCTGTGGATCCACACATTTACTGTAATTTTACAGTATAAGCACTGTTTTACTGTTTTCAACTGTGCTGTAATCGCAGCATTAATGCAGTTATGAGTTGCATTATTGGACATCGATCTCTCTCGGCTTTTCTTTTTTTAATGTTCAACTCAACAGCTTAATAAAGTGACTTTTTTATTAATCATTGGTTATTTTAATAGATCAGCACATACAAATACAGTCTCAGCTATACAGTAGGAAATAACAAGAAATATACACACAAGTAAACAGGATAACACAGTCAGGCTGGGAGCTGAACATGCACCACAGACTAGAAAACCAGGAGAAATTATTATTGTAATGCCAAAAAGGTGTCCGTAGCTGCCAAAAATCATCAGACTTTTGATGTACGTCATAGGTGAGTTTCTCAAGTGGAATTAGCTACCTACTTGAGACAACCACATTTTAAAGGAGGGTGCCCGAGGAGATGACCACAATAAAAGTGTACATTTCTTTGCCACATAGACCAAGATTAAAATCAAATGCTTGGTGTGGGCGTCCAAAACATTCTCTAAATTCCAGAGAAAAATGAAAGTTAATCTTAAAGAGTCCTATTAAAACATGATGTATTTTTTTCTGAAAAGAGATGGTTTTGTCACAATAAAATAATGAAGTGACTTTTATTTATTTATTTTTTATTTTTTGGTAGTTTGAAACAATATGTTGTATAATAAATACTTAAAGAGAATCAAGTCTGTAAAATAACAGCAACGGCAGTTTATTACCATGGGTTTACTGTAATTTACAGCAAAATATATCACTTCAAGCTATTTTAAGTCGCCTTTTCAAACTTTTCAACATAAAATGTTGTTGGAGGAAAGATTAAGGTGCCACAATGCAATTCAAAAGCATAAATAAAAGAAAAATTATACAAGCTATGACTAAAATATAAGTTAAAAATGAATGTACTGATATTTATTTACAGTGTACGGTAATATTTACTTGGGATTTGGTTACTGCACTGCCTTTATTACCATTACATTAATGTGTATTTCTCTCATTTATACGTATTTCTTCACCTTTTTACTGAATCACAAAGCATGAATGTGAACGGCCATTTTGACATAAACGCTTCCTCCTGTGTCAGACATTTTGAGCACTTCATGGGTTTCAGCTAACTTGAAAACCAGTTCCTCCACTAAAGGGGCTGTGTTACATGCTTCTCAGGCTAACACAAACAAACAAGACTTTCCCTTTCTTATTTTCACCCTCTATGACTGTGTGTTTTTTCCCAGATTACCTACAAGGAAGTGTTCTGTCTGTACTTAGCCACAGCCCAGCGAGATTATTTGATGTCAAAACACACAGAGGGAATTCTTAGAAGTGACATCATAGATAGAAAACCAAGGCAACCAATGTACCTCTGAAGCTGCTCAGTCAGTATTGGTTTCATTGTTTTCAGTATCAGAGTTTCCAATAATAAACCATTCATGATGTTTCAAAACAAAAACACCTATTAAAAAAAAAAAAGTTTTGAATAATAACAATACATCAAACTACATCAGCATTACTATAACATAATTTACCAAGTGCTTCGGTTTCCCCCACAGTCCAAAGACATGTGGTACAGGTGAATTGGGTAGGCTAAATTGTCCGTAGTGTATGAGTGTGAATAAGTGTGTATGGATGTTTCCCAGAGATGGGTTGCAGCTGGAAGAGCATCTGCTGCGTAAAACATGTGCAGGATAAGTTGGCGGTTCATTCCGCTGTGGCGACCCCGATTAATAAAGGGACTAAGCCGAAAAGAAAATGAATGAATGAATGATTATATCAAGCTAAATTATGCTTGTATACTTTTTGTCTTGTATATATTTACTTAATGCTTCCCACCACACCTACTTTTGAGTTTGTCAACCATCTGAAATCAGCTTCAATTATTATCCAGTAATAATTAAGTGTAATTTAAAAAAATTTTGTGTTTATTTTTACATTAAACAACTGCATAAATCTATTTTCGGTTTTAGTTTTAATTTTAGTACTAAAACAAATGGTATAATAAAAATAAATAAATAAACAAACAAACAAACAAACAAATAAATAAATAAATAAAAGTTTTGAATAATAACCCACATAGGAAAATTCCTCTGGCCCAGCTCTGGCCCACACAATCAGCTTTTGCTTGGCCCACAGGCCGCAGTGAATTACAGTACATGACTGGACCAAGGCCCGATCCCAATTCTATTTTTGTAGCCCTTCCCCTTGGCCCTTAAAACTGAGTGTTGCCAGATGATGAAAGTCTAAGCCGGTGGTGGCCTAAGACATCTGTACAGTACTGTATAGCAATATCTACAGTTGAAGTCAGAATTATTAGCCCCCCTGTTTATTTTTTCCCCCAATTTCTGGTTAACGTTGAGCACTTTAAGCTGTATAGACACTTCTATACAGCTTAAAGTGACATTTAAAGGCTTAACTAGGTTAATTAGGTTAACTAGGTAGGTTAGTTTAATTAGGCAAGTTATTGTATAACGATGGTTTGTTCTGTAGACTATCGAAAAAATATATAGCTTAAAGAGGCTAATAATATTGTCCTTAAAATGGTGTTCAAATAATTAAGAACGGCTTTTATTCTAGCCGAAATAAAACAAAAAAGACTTTCTCCAGAAGAAAAAATATTATCAGACATACTGTGAAAATTTCCTTGCCCTGTTAAACATCATTTGGGAAATATTTACAAAAGAAAACAAATTTAAAGTGAATAATTCTGACTTCAACTGTATATATAAAACCAGTAATGTCCTAAAGTCTGTTTTCTTGTCTCTGTGGTCTCCAGCCCGCTCCTCCATGGCTCTGCAGGTTTTGGGAATCACTCTGTCAATGATCGGCTTTGCGGGAACCATCATCATCTGCGCGCTGCCCATGTGGAAGGTGACCGCCTTCATTGGCACCAACATCGTGGTGGCTCAGGTGTTTTGGGAAGGCCTGTGGATGACCTGTGTGTATGAGCGCATCGGCCAGATGCAGTGCAAACTCTATGACGCCCTGCTGGATTTGGACCCCTTCCTGCAGGCGTCCCGCGGGCTCATAGTGACCACCATGGCTTTGGCCAGCTTGGCTTTCCTCATTTTTCTGATTGGGGCTGATTGCACTAACTGTCTGAGTAACCCACGGGCCAAAGGACGGATTGTGGTGGTCTCCGGCATCACCTTTATGCTTTCAGGACTGACCACTGTGGTGCCCGTGTCCTGGACAGCCGACTCCATTATAAGGGACTTTCACAATCCTGTAGTGCACGAGGCTTTAAAGAGGGAGATGGGAGCAGCTCTTTATGTGGGCTGGTTAACAGCCGGGTTTCTGTTTATTGGTGGAGCAATTCTGTGCACCAGTTGCCCACCGGAGCGGGACAACTATTTACCACGGTATACTTTAACAAAATCTGGCACTCACAGTGGCTATGCTGTAAAGAACTATGTCTGACAGGTAACACTCTCTAAAATAGTAGACTGAACAAAAATTATTGGATTTCCTAGTTTTTTTTTAGGGTAAACTATTCATTTGGGCTGAATTTAAACAAAAAAGGTGATTTTAGTAATCAACTTAATTTGAGTGCGTTTATATTCAGCTCGTATGAATTGTTTGCAACCATTTACCCTAAAAAATGTAGTAAATCCAATGAATATTTTTTTGTGTGTATTGCACAAGTGTTATGCTGCATCCACACCAGACGCGGAACGCGATTCAAGCGTGAGTGATTTACATGTTAAGTCAATGCAAACACGCAAATAGACATCCTGCGAATGGCGCGACGCAAATTGAACGTTTTGCGCGTTAAACAACCAGGAGCTTGCACTTGTGGAGGTGTGATTGTGACGTATCCCCTGTTGTCGGTGTTCCGGGGGAAATCCTTCAGCCGAAACCGACAAAAAGTTCATCAAACTGTGCTCAGCGCAGTCAGAAGCACCGCTGAAAGCCTCCATCAGCCAGGTTAAGTTTCTGGAGGAGTTTATGAGCTCACAGAGCTGGATGCACATCTGAAAGAATCTAGTGGACTCAGACACGACCCTAAACGTATCGACGCTGTTTTTCAGCCTTCATAAAGCACATTAACACTGTTATTTTTTTAATAAAATCCATGTTAGCCATTTAGCTATGAAGCTAGAGTCACCGGGCAGACAGAAGCCCTGCCCATCACGCGAATCCGCGTCTGTTCTGAAGTGAATTTGACGCGCGAATGAAGCAGATTTGATGTGCGAATGAAGCGAGTAACCTCAAATGTTCACGCTGCTATTTACGCGCAAATAGCACGATTTATCGGTGCGTTCTGCGTCTGGTGTGAACACAGCATTAAAGGAATGCTTTACTCACCCTTTCCTTAAAATGTAAGTTTTTGTATTCTGTTGAACGCTAAGGAAGATATTTGAAGAATGCCAGAAACCAGTAACCATTGACATCCATAGTAGGAAAAACAAATACAGTTGAAACCAGAAGTTTACACACACTCTAAAAAAAAGGCAATGTTTAATTTAGGGTTTCCACTTACACATCAGTTTAAGATAAAGTTTTAAAAATTGAGATCATAATAGATGTAAAAGTGCACTTGTGTGTCTGCCTTTTCTATTGATCGAGTAGTGGAGATTGATATGACAAGTAGAATGTAAGCAGAACTAAAAAATTGTTTTTAGAACGAGTGATAATCCCATTAATCTAGTTTCAGCATGTCCCTGTCGAAGAACAGGGAATTTCAGCTAGTATTTTTTATTTTTTTTTGCAGTAATATCAAAGATAAAACTACTTAAAACTATGGAGTTGATCCTAATTGTAATTTTCCCGAAAAAGGACAAGCCATTCCTGTAACTTTGTATGACTGAAATATGTATGTAATTAAGATACACTTCATCTTTAATAAAGGGGAGGAGACCAACATAAACTCAGAGTTTAGAGGATAAAACCTGCTCCTGACCATGTCACAGAGTAAGTGACCACGGTCGATAACTGACTCGGAGTAAAAGGTACCTCTCTTTTAGAAACAGGATTGACTTACCCTGCTTTCTCCAGTTTGACAAACCTGCCATTTTTTAAATGGAAAACCCAAAGTTTCTTTCATTTCAGGGTTAACATACTCTGAGTTTTCACTTAACCTCCAGTCTGTAACAGGGCCCAGGTCCTAAAGAGTGTATTTGGTGTTTTAATTGTTCATGCTGATGGAGAAAAGTGCCTTTAAAAGTCTCTGCATTTTTATATCTGCATTTGAGAAAAAAACAAGGAACTTTATTTGGTTCTTTTGTGTCCACTGTGTACATCTCCATCTCTCATTTCCATTTCCATTTTTTTCTGTAAAAAAAATCCAAAAGTTGCAATACAGAGAATTAGATTATGCAACATGTCAGTATGTGTCAAGTTTCTAAATTATTGTGAGTGAGCTGGTGTAGAGATTACAGAAAAACAATTCCTAAAATGGAAAAGTCCCTAAAAGTCCCCTAAAAGTCCCCATAAAACACACACACACATACACACACACACACACACACACACACACACACACACAAAAACGTTATTAATCCGTTCATTTATTCATTCAATGTCCTTCAGCTTAGTCTTTATTTCAGAGGTGGCCACGGTGGCAACCATTCCAGCATATGCTTCACACAGTGGATGCCCTTCCAGCTGCAACACAGTACTGGGAAACACCCATACATGCTCATGCTCATTCTCACACACACTACAAGCAATTTAGTTCATCGATTCCCCTATATCGCATGTGTTTGGACTGTGGGGGAAAGCGGAGCACCCGGAGGAAACCCACGCCAACACAGGGAGAACATGCAAACTCCACAGAGAAACGCCAACTGACCCAGCCAGGACTCGAATCAGAGATCTTGCTGTGAGGCCACAGTGCAACACCCCTGAGCCACCTACATCTGGTTACAATATATATAATATATCTGGTTACAAAATATATTTAAATAAAAGTGATAAATAATTTGTAACTAGGCGAATAACAGATCCAATCCAAAATATATTTACATTTTTACATTTTAAAATGCAACATAGTTACATTGTAATCCTAATATACCAACTAATATTTCAGGTCGGTAATAAAATAAATGTCAAAACTTTAAATAAAATATGGATGAACTTCATGAAATGACCCCTGAAATGCCCTTTTAGTTTAGCGGCCCCTGCAGGTCTAGTGTTGTGATGCATGATATGGGAGTGCACTAGGCAGGGAGCATGTTTACATGCAGTGGCCTTGAGTTGCATGTGCAGCCGAATACCCACTAGGTGGCCTCAGTGATCTTCCTAGGAGCTGCGAGACTATCCTTCATTCATTTTCCTTTGGCTTCCAGGCATGTCCACACTCGGTCCTGGAGGGCCAGTGTCCTGCAAAGTTTAGCTCCAACCCCAATCAGACACACCTGGGCTAGCTAATCAAGCTCTTACTAGGCTTTCTGGAAACATCCTTGCAGGTGTGTTGACGCAAGTTGGAGCTAAAGTCTGCAGGACACCGGCCCTCCAGGACCGACTTTGGACACCCTTGTTTAATCTGGGGTCGCCACAGCAGAATGAACCGCCAACTTATCCAGCATTTATTTTACGCAGTGGATGCCCTTTCAGCTGCAACCCAGAACTGGGGAACACCCGTACACTACGTGAGGTGTGCGTAATCTGGTGGATAATTGTAGCATTTTGATTGGTTGTGTTTGGAAAAGGAGTTCAAGGCTGAGAAACAGCTTCTGGTTTTGGAGATTTGCTGTGGAGTTTTGCATTTTGAGTTAAATGATTGAGAAAGGGTGAAGCAGTGGCGCAGTAGGTAGTGCTGTCGCCTTACAGCAAGAAGGTCACTAGTTCAAACCTCGGCTCAGTTGGCGTTTTTGTGTGGAGTTTGCATGTTCTCCCTGCATACGCGTGGGTTTCCTCCGGGTGCTCCGATTTCTCCCACAGTCAAAAGATATGTGGTACAGGTGAATTGGGTAGGCTAAATTGTCTGTAGTGTATGAGTGTGTGTGTGGATGTTTCCCAGGGATGGGTTGTGGCTGGAAGGACATCCGCTGCGTAAAAAGTTGCTGGATAAGTTGGCGGTTCATTCCGCTGTGGATTAATAAAGGGACTAAGCCGACAAGAAAATGAATGAATGAATGTTTCAGAAATCAGGCGACAAGAAAAGATTGTGTGTGTAAGCAGTTGGAAAAAACTAAACTATTCAGCTGTATATATTGTTTATGAAGCTCTTACCAGATAGCATGCGAATGTGGGCCACTTTAGGCAGTTATGCGGCACTGGTGGTCTTCCTTCGGCCCAGACTTAATGAATGTGAGCCTGAAGTGGCCCACCCGTACAATGGCAAATGGCGGCCAAAGATTCAAGTTTATATATGGGCCATTTAAGCCAAAGATATGGCACTTATGGCAAAATGTAATCTGAATGTGAGCCCAATGTGGCCCATGTGGAAAATGATCAATTTGGCCCAAATGATGGAGGACAAATGTGGGCCACAGTTGGCAAAAATGTGGAATAGTCATTTAAGGGTAATCTGGGTCTAAACCTAAAGTGGCTCACACGTGTAAATGTGACCCAGTTATCTTAAGACATATGTGGGCCACTTTTGGCAAATATTTGGCTCAGTAAGCTCAGGCTAATGCGGCTGTGAGCCTAATGTGGGCCAGAGAAAATATGGCAAATGTGGCCCAGTTATCTTAAAACATATGTGGGCCACTATTGGCGAATATTCGGTACAGTAAGCTCTGGCTAATGTGTCTGTGAGCCTAAAGCGGCTGTGAAATGAATGTCTTCTCTCTACAGTGGTCAAATTCAAAGTACTTTAACGTAGACTAACCATATTCCATACACAAGGATGTTCCGTACAGATTACCTTTTAACGAATGAACACTTACGGGTCGTAGGCAAGCTAGCTATCTGTGTAATCTTTATTTCTTACTCTTTCAGCCCCAAGCACAACAGAGACCTTTTTACTATATGTTTCCGAGTAAATTCTGTAAGTTTACTACGTCCACCTAATGCGCTTGAAAATAAACCGTGGGCAAGCTTCAAGTGCGAGTGTCGCCTGGGAGGGAAGACATTTAAAGCAACGACAATATGCATTTGCATTTAATTTATGCACCACACAGCATTACAGTCTTTATGAAGTAAATATTATGTTATCACAAATTGTTAAATAACTTATCTTTTGTTTAATAAATGCTTTGAAATGGGGATATTTAAACGTCAGTTGTGGGTGATGACCGCATGGCGCAACTCTCCACCAGAGGGAGCCTGAGAGACAGGCTGTAAACGCTGTTTGGATCCTCCTTTTGCAGTGATGTTTATATTCATAAAAGGTCAGTCAAGTTAGCGTTAATGTGCATGAATTTAATGTTTTAATATTTTAAATGGTCGTGCTGTAATAAAAAAAACATGATATAAAAATTAAATGATTGTGAAGCTATTTCATTTTAAACTTTCATAAAAAAGTTGTTAAATATATAATTAACTTCAAGTTAAACACCATAATAGTATATTCTGATATAAGATTTTAATAAGCCTTCAAACAATGCCCATTTTTGCCAGTGATTGAAAGAACACTATTTTATTCGTGTATGGAACACCTTTAATACCCATCATCTTCCGTACACAAGGTGGTACTTTTCCTATCTTTTCTTAAAAACTACTGGTCCAAAAGACATCAATCAAAATTTGGATTTTGCAGTAGGTATTCCCCCAGAGAATGAACACACAAGCATGCTTATCTGGCTTTCAATGGCAGAGGAGTGGTCGTTTGAGTGCGCTGAATAGCGAAAAGTGTACAGAACATGGTTAGTCTACTTTAGGTGATAAAAGTGCATCTGACCAAGTCAAACACCTTATTCACTTACATAAAATGTCATTCCAAGCCTAAAGTTGGAATCAGCAGTCAAGCAAAGTCTCACCACAGCCTCAAAAGACAAGCCACACAGCTACAACTACTGTATATCCCATGCTACACTCTCAGAAATAAAGGTATGCGAGCTGCCACAGGGGTGGTACCTTTTTAAAAGGTACACATTTGTGCTTAAAGGGTCCATATTGGTACCTCAAAGGTATATATTAGTACCCAAAAAAAACACTTTAGTACTTTTTAGGTACTAAAATGTACCCTTGAGTTATTAATATGGACCTTTAAGGTACAAATTAGTACCTTTTGAAAAGGTACCACCCCAGTGGCAGCTTCTTTATTTCTGAGAGCGTAGAAACACTCTCATCTTGCTGACTTAAGCTTTTTCCATGTCATATTAATCCACATGCCAACCAATCAGAAGAGTCCAGGACTTAGCTCATTCACATCTGTTGTTCATTTCTGACTGGAAGGACAGAAGAGTGATTGAGAGAGAGAGAGTTTGCTGTGTATGCTTAATAAAGTGCCTGTAGAAAATCAGCATACCCCTTTGAAATGAACACTTTTTAGTCATACAACCTGAAATTAAATCACACTCCAAATAGCCTTTGAAATGTTTTGTA